ACTAAGGCTGTCATTGTCAACATCCACATGAATATTAAAATCACCTACAATAATTACTTTATCTGATTTAAGGACTAAACTTGATAAAAACTCTGAGAATTCAGATATAAAATCAGAGTACGGTCCAGAACTGGCTGCAGTGTTTTTCAGGTCGGGTGAGAAAGACTAAGAACAAGGCTTTCAAATGAATTATGATGTTCTGCTATCATAGTACATATCACAGTCCTGTATTGCTGACTGACTGATCATTTCAGTCATTGTGCAGCAATGTTGCCAATACATGTTGGGTTATTGAGCTTTAATGTCGGTTCAACAACATAAGAGGATTTTTTCATTTCGTTACAGTCACTACAAATAAGGTACACTAGAGGGCTGCCACTAGTGGCTGAAACCTATTCTTTTGATATAAGCATCTTATTGTAACAATTGAGAATATGTTGGGGTTTGGAGAATAAACTTTAACGCGAAATTTTACATTTACAAGATGTTGTGAAGTTTGTTTTTCTCACTCATCTCTGCATTTCTTGGCGATTATCACCTGCTGTCAGTACCAATCTGGGCTGATAAAACCTACATTTTTTCAAACATTATTTTTCCTTTTTGTGTCAAAGAAAAAATTATTTTAAAATGTCTAATTTGAGATAAAATACTTACTTTTAGTTATTGTGACTTGGCCTAACTTGGTCACATGGTTACCTTCTCTCATCACGCTGGTTCTTCTTTCCCGCAGGAAACGAACATCTCCAGCCAAGGACGAGCACATGGCAGGGGTCAAGGACTTACTGCTGGCCCACTCCTCAGATCCTGTGGAGATGAGGAGACTCAACTATCAGACACAAGGCATGGACACACACACACACACACACACACACACACAGACAGACAGACACAGCTGTCCCCAGAGAAACATTATGTGTAATTTCACCTTTCTTAAAAGTATTTTTATCATATTTTGCTTTGCTGTTGATGCTGTTAACTGCGAATACAAACTTAACACTTCCTCCAGGTTTATCTGTTGTCTCAATAAATTCAACAACAGTTCTTATTCTCGTTCACCATTTACTTTACTCTGCCGCCCCAATCGGCGGAACAGCATCTTTTGTCTGTGCCTTCGTAATACAGCAGCTATTCAGCAACAAAATCCACGTAGGGAGAAGGTTGAGGTGGGTAAATGGGTTTAACTCTTTCCCTGGGAGACTGTTGCAGACAGTTGCAGTTTGTTTAAGCTTAGGTTTATGCTGTGCAGTTATAAATACCCAGATGCAAATAGCATCTGTTTGTATTGTTAAAATACAATGAGTACTTTATTAGGTTACATAACAAAACTTTTATAAAAACAACTTTTTGTCATATTTGCTGAGACTTTCACTATATCCTGACAGTAGTACTTGAGACAGATAATATGTATATGGCGAAAGAGTACAGTGAAAGTTTCAGAAAATATGACATTATTTTTATAAAAATAATCCATTGCAACTTTAATGTTCAGGGAAGACCATGGTCATTTATGGAAAACAATTTTGACTGTTGGAAACGAACAGCTGTCTCTGTTGTCAAAGTTATGTTGATCCATCCATCCACCAAACCTATGCAGACAGACGTCAGCTGACTTCCTCCCTTGCTCCCATCATAATTGCTTTTAGAATTACACACCCTGCAACGTGTTTCTTTTTTCTATTATCAGCTGTCTCTCTTTCTCTGGTTTACAGTACTTTATCTTTGTGCCCTTACTCACTCTACTGTCTGACTATGTTACTGATTGTAACCTCCCACCGTATTTCAGTGGGAGGTTTTAAACTCACAGTTTGTCATTGTTTTTCGACCATGTTCCTCTCTCAATCAGATGGGTGGCATTTACCTCAGGTAGCAATAGGAGGGAATTTGGCAGATGTTGTTTACACCAAGATAAATTCATCAACTCATTTGGCTGCCAACCTTTGTTGTCCCTCTCAATTTGACGGATGACGTCATGTGTACTCATGCTATAAAGTGAAAATTGTGAACTTTTAAACATGCTTTACTCTCCTTGAGTATTTAAATTTTACGGTACTTTACTTTAAAAATAAGACAAATACTTCATACAACATTTATTTTATCGTTATTGTCACCAAGTACCTACTAATTAGTTAGTTGTGTTTTTTTTCCAATGTCCAGTGTGTGACATCTATTGTCAGAAATGAAACATAATATTCATAGGTATGTTTTCATTAGTGTATAATCACCTAAAAAAATAACAATTGTTTTTGTTGTGTTTGCATTATCTTAGACTGAGCAGTTTTATCTACAGAGGCAGCAGGTCCTCTTCTATGGAGTCTGCCATGTTGATTTTCTATGTTTCTACAGTAGCTCAGAAGGGACAAACCGAACACTGGCTCAAGATAGGGGAACTCGCTTTTTTTTGTGTCTTGCGACCACTGCTTCATCCTTCCCTTCCAAACACAATTCAATTCAATTTTACTTGTATAGCGC